CTCGGACCGCTTGCTGGCAAGATGGTGACTGGATGATGATGTCGTCCAGGTACACTTGAAGTCTCACTGGACGCGACCTCAGGGACGCTACCACAGCTGCCAGAACTTTTGTAAATGTCCTGGGGGTTGATGAGAGGCCAAATGGTAGTGCCCAGTATTGATAATGCGTTCCTGCATAGTAAAATCTCAGGAACCTGCGGTGGGCCTTGCGGACAGGGATGTGAAGATACACTTCTCGAAGATCTATTGATGTTAGTATATCCCGTGGCCTGATGCAGCTCAAGACTGGAGAGACTGCATTTGGAAACGTTTGTACGCTAGATGGTAATTTAGTCCTTTGAGGTCTAATATCCCCCTCCACCCTCCGGAGTTCTTTGGGACGAAGAACAGGATCGAGTAAAAACCTGACCCCTCTTGACCTGCTGGTACTGGTTCTATAGCCTTGATCTCCCAAAGGTGCTGGATCTCTTGCTCCATTAGGGACCATTTGGCTGGGGAGGAGGGAGTGGGACAGCGGATGAAGTGGCAGGGAGGGGGGGAAATAAATTCTAGAGTCAGACCCAGGTGGATTATTTGAAGTACCCACTGATCTGACGTGGTCTGCTCCCATCGGTCCTGAAATAAGTGCAGGCGCCCTCCGATGGGAGCCGTCAACTGGCTGTCACTTATAGTGACGGAAAGGCCTAGAGCCTGATCCACCATGAAAGGGACGTTTAGAGAAGGATTGCTGTCTGGCGCTGTCTTGAAAGGGTTGACGATCTTGTGACCGGTCTGGTTCCTGACTGTATGGGTAGTGGTACTGACCGGTGCTAGTGGACGGTTCTGAGGATTGAAAGGACTGCTTTCTAAAATAATCAGAACCTTTGCGCTCTCTTTTCTTGGTGACGGATGGCATAACTTTCTTTTTGTTCTTGTTTCGACTAGGATAGGGTCCAAGGCCTCCCCAAAAAGCTTCCCTCCTTTAAAGGGGGCAGAGGCCAACTTCCACTTGACCTGATGTCAGCGTTCCAGTGGCGAAGCCACAAGAGTCGCCTGGTGGTGACATTTGAGGCTAGGACCCTGGAGGCGAACTTAGCGGAGTTGAGGATGGCATCTGCAGTGTATTCTGCTGCTAAGACCTTATTGAATTCCTGCCTCAGTTTGATGTCACCTGTCAGAAATCTTTCTGAGCCAGAGGAGAGATGCCCTGGACATGAAAGACGCCGAGGTGGCCGTCTTAATGGCCCAGGCAGCCGCCTGATGGGTCTTGTGACATGTCCTTTCTGATCTCTTGTCCTCTGCCTTCAAGCTTTCTAATAGGTCAGGGGGCAAAACTGAGGATGATGTAAGTGCTTGTACCACAGGATTCATCTGAGGCAATTTTAATAAATCCTCCAGGGAGGCATCCACCATATAAAGCTTTTTATCACTGCTATCAGGTGTGGCTAGGGTGCCTGGTTGAATCCACTGTCGCTGCACTACATTCAAAAATAAGGGACTTTGAGTTCTCTGAGAACTTATTTCATATGTGCAATTCTTTTGTATTTTGATTAATATGTTACTAGCATTTGGTTCTTCTGCATGTGCACCATATTGACTAGGGCCTGGATTTCATTTTGGAACGGTTTTCTTCTAATATCCACTTGAACAAATTTTTCCCATAATATTGGGATTTCAAAAGAACTAATTGCTGAATATGACATAAATATATGTATATTTATGCTTTTTAAGTCTTTCTCTTATGGATGAATTTATTGAAAATTCTGTAATAGAAAATTGCAATCTAATGAAATGCTTTTATTATTTTATTATTTAATTTTATTTGTTGAAAAGTATGATGAGGAAGAAGTTTTACAGAAGGTACAAAACTGAATGAAACCCAATCCAGGAGGAATTCTTCAAATTCCTTTTTAAAAAATTGGGTGAACTAAGATATGGTCCATGGATGAAAGATGGCGTAAACATTTAATTAAAAATTGTTAAAAGCATGTTACCCCCCCCCCCAGTTCTTTGGGATCTCCTCTGTAGTTCACTCCAAGTGGAGGAATCTGAGGCATTTGGTGCCTTTGAGAGGTCCCCCCCCCCTTGGGGGAGCGTGAACTGCTGCTGCTGAGGCTGGGGGCCCTCCCTCTTGCCCAGCTCTGGTAGCTGTTCTCAGGGACGTTCCAGGGCTAACCATGTCTTGTGCTCCCCCCTCTGTCTGCTCGGCTAATCCCCTTTCCCTTTCAGCAAGACTTACACGGACGCGTCGCTCCCAAGCCTCCTGAAGGTGTAAAGAATGGGTCATCATGAGATCCTCTCTTTCAGCTGCCTGCCAGTCATCCTCTGGTTTTTGGCTGGTTGTGACCCTTGCCATCGTCTTCTCCTGTTTGTTGCAGGGGCTAGACATTTGGGTGCTCCCCACATGGAAGTTTTTAACTCTGGGATGGGTGCAAGCTGAGACCTTGCTTAATGTCAGGCATGCCTCCCTACCTCAATAACCAAGAAAGAAAACTCCTAACTCCATTGTTCGTGGAATTAAAATACTTTTACTGGTTATGAAAAGATACCTGCGAAAGTAAAGCAAGGTCGGAGGCAGAAACGCGCGAAATCATACATATAAAACATTTACCCAGCACCCTCCCTCCAACAACCCCCAACCCATTGCCCAATCTGCAACTCCCTTAGGTGTCATTTGGGTTGCATCTCCAAGAAGCATCATCAGGTTGGTATGCAGGACGGTTGACCTTAACTAGGTCCAAACACCGGCCATCAGCATGCACAGAAGATGGTGAGAACAAAACTCCCTTTTTGACTAATCCTCCTGTACCAATTTCACATCCCAAATACCATGCCCTCCCCCCCCCGTTTCTATGGCAGCCGAAAGGAAGTAAGCAAAGCAGAGGTTGACATCTGGTATTACAGAATAGGGTTACCTATGTCATGTGAAATTTCATGAATTATTATCTCAATTTGTGATGAAAAACGTTTTCACATAGACACACACACACACACACTGAGTCAAATATGTTAGCAATTAGCCGCACATCTAGATTTGTTGTAATAAACAAATCCCATCATGGTCTTTTATAAACTTTCAAGAATGGATCAGAAAAGCACAAATAATATTGGGGTATCCTTCAGAGATAGGATGGCTCAGTGGCTAAGATGCTGAGCTTGTAGATCGAAAGGTTGGCAGTTCAATGGTTTGAACACCTAGCGCCGCATAACGGAGTGAGCTCCCGTTACTTGTCCCAGCTTCTGCCAACCTAACAGTTCGAAAGCACGTAAAAATGCAAGTAGAAAAATAGGAACCACCTTTGGTGGGAAGGTAACAGCTTTCCGTATGCCTTCGGCATTTAGTCATGCCAGCCACATGACCACGGAGATGTCTTTGGACAGCGCTGGCTCTTCGCTTTTGGAATGGAGATGAGCACCGCCCCCTAGAGTCAAGAACGACTAGCACATATGTCCTAGGGGAAACTTTATCTTTATCCTTCAGAACATTTTTCAGAAACAGTATGACAATGTGAACCACTGTTCCAGTATATGAATGCATACTTTTAATAAAATAGATTCAATTAAAAAGTAACAAGTTTATATTCTTTTTAAAATGATATTGTGACATAAAATAAACTACTGTCTTAGAAAGAATTGGTTGCCTGTAGCAGTTTGATTGCTAAAGCAAAGCAATTTGGCTACTTTTTTATTTTTTAGATTTATTTAAGTTTTTTCATTTTTAGACTTTTAATTTTTTAAAACTGGTTTTATTATTTACTTTTATTATTACATTTATATGCTGTTCATCTCTGTCCAGGGCAACTCTTAGAAATAACTCAAAGCAGTGAACATAACTAATACTTCTTCCTCCTATTTTCTCCACAACAACCCAGTGGGGTGAGTTGGGCTCACAGAGAGTGTCTCTTCCAAAGTCACCCAGCTGGTTTAAATTTAAATTTAGCACTGTTTCATAAAGACACTATTGGGATGTTTTAATTAAGAAACATTTAAAAATAATACAAATCAGAGTCTACCTGAGAGACCGCCTCCTGCCAATTACCTCCCACAGACCGATTAGATCGCACAGACTCCTCCAGATTCCATCGGCCGGTCAGTGTCGACTGGCGACCTCCGGGGGAGGGCCTTCTCTGTTGCTGCTCCGGCCCTCTGGAATGATCTCCCTGTTGAGATCCGGATCCTTACTACCCTTCCGGCCTTCCGTAAAGCGACGAAGACCTGACTGTTCCAGCAGGCCTGGGGCTGTTGAATTGTCCAGCCCCATTCCAAGTTGTGGATGTTGTTGCAATTTTAAACTGTTTATTTATTTTTTATATCCCTCCTCCCTTTTTATTGAAAGCCGCCGGGAGTCTTCCGAGAGTGGGCGGCATACAAAACTAATAATAAATAATAATAAAGTCAATAAGAATGTGTAATTATAAATTTAAATAATATTTGGTAACATGTTTAAGGTGACAGCAATCATTCCATAATTTATTACTTATTATTTCCCTAATTCTCTTTGTAGTATTTGACAACTAGTTGTTTTTGTTCTGAGCATAGGTATCAAACCACGAAAGGTAATAGGATAAAGATAATGGGGGGGGGAGAGTGGTTTTCATCACAGAAGGGGAGGATAATATTAAACTTTATAGCGCATATACAACCCAAATGTTAGTTTCATCATTGCAGCAAATTTCAGGGAAAGTTAATCCTAGAAGATCGCTCTACGCGTGCTTGCACGTTGTCTTTCGCTAAGAAGAAAGCCGTTCTATATAAAATGGGATCCCATAAAATTTTACAAAGGTGCCTCCCATCTCTCAAAGCCATTGGCTATAAGTTTAATTTCTAGATACAGGTAGCGCTTTTTTTCCATATCTACAAGTATCCGGCCAGGCTGACCTCCCAGCCCATCACAGCAAAAGCAATTGCGTCGCGGAATTGCCATGGATACGAGCAATACTGAAGCGGACGGATACAGACCAATCTCATTTGGAAAGAAAAAAATGCATAGGGACAATGAGCCCCTATTTTCATTATGTTTTTAATTTGGCAAAAGTGCTTCCTTTTGCCGTTTTTGATCACCAAAGCGCTAGTCGGAGCCTTCAGAAAAAGAAAGCTGAAAGGAACTTTTTTTTGTCTGGCGGAGGGAGCTGATCGCGGGTTTGGCGTACCACTGCCAGTAAATTTTGGCCGTGGCCGGGCAACGAAGCAGACTCTGCCCCCGGGACGGGGATGGGTAGGGGGCATGGAGGTGGAGGGGGACGGCGTGGGTCCTTTCCATCTAGGACCGTTGACATCTACGCCTAAAGAGTCATCTACCTCGAGCCTCCCCACACGGGTGAGTGAAGAAGGGAATAGCCCAGCGCGCTAATGTTTTAGGAGTTGATCAGAGACCTTCAGAATGAACCTCGTGTGTCAAAAGTCCAGAACCCCCCAAAAGGCGGGCTATAAATGGAGTGACCTTCAAAAATTAAATAGCATCGGGCTTGGTTAGAGACTTCTAGGGCTTGGCACATCTCTTTACTGCAGTGGTAAAGGGTATGATCCCAGGCAAAACTGTATGAATAGTGCCACAACCTCAACAAGAGTCGACTTTAGCTTCAGAGAAAAGTTATATTTTAGCATAGTAACACATTGAGCATCACACTAAGCTCCACTGGTTTTAGTTCACCCAAGATTGTTGTAAGCCACAAACTATCCAATTGTTTTTCTATAGCTCAGGATATAGTGCTAGTCTATGGTGGTGCCTGCTTAATTAAGTAGTTAGTCCCTTATATATAGACTGCTAGTGGTTTTGAGTTTAAATTAAACATCTGGCTATCCCAGGGTGTGATTCCATATAGAATTTGACATACCGAAAACCACAATGAATTCAAGAACTCTAGGAACATAAAAGTTTGTTACTTCACTTCATTTTTAGTGAAATCAATAGAGTGTACTCTTGAGAAATTTGTAATCAGTTGGGTGTTACATAACATGCTAATTCAGAAATAAACAGACAGTTGTTGTGTATGAGTTCTGTTCTTAGAGTTTATGGATTATCTTGGCTAGTTATGGTTTAACTAAAACCATAATTAACTTAATTTATACATTTAATTTATACATAATACACAACATGCATTATACATAACTTAGTATTACGTATAAGACTGCTAACTTTTGCTAGGAAGCTTAATGGAGAGAGGAACTCCCCCCCCTCCAATTAGAATGTCAATTTAATTTCAGTTAGCTCTTCATTTGCCTTAAGGTCCCAGGTACTCCATGTCCTAATCTCAAAACAAAACAAAACAAAACAAGACAAAACCTAATAAAAAACCAATTACCCCCCCCCCCCAAGATACTTCATTGTGCCTGAGCTCTTTCATTGGTAGCTTGTCTCCAAAAGTCATGAATCATGGTGGCACAGTGTTTAGAATGCAGTATTGCAAGCTAATTCTGACTGCTGGCTGCCATCATTTTGGCAGTTTGACTCTCACAAGCTCAAGGTTCCGATATCGGTAAAATTAGGACCCAGATTGTTGGGAGGCAATATGCTGACTCTGTAAACCACTTAGAGAGGGCTGTAAAGCATTATATAAGTATAAGTGCTATTACTATTACAAACCACAATGACTAGTCCAAACCCAGGGAAATCACATAACTATCTTCACAGGACATGCTTATCTGTAGCTAATTTGTCTGGTTTATGACACTTTTGTATTTAGTTCTTTTATATGTACCTTGCATGCTTCACATTGCATAATTTAGAAAGTTGCTGAACATTTTTGAAATTTTCATTGATGTTTGGAGATGAGAGAAGTGAATGGAAATAATTTCAGTGTAGAAGCATTTGCCGCAGGTTAGTTTGTAAAATGCCTATTCTGCAATGCACTTTTTAAAAAGTTTTGTTTTTTTCCAATGTTTTGTTTTTCAGACTGATTCCTTGTCATCTGAAAACAGTGACAGTTCAGGAGAAGACTGGCTCATAAAAATTCGTTGTCCAGGAGCAAGGCATCGATACAGTAAACGAGCTCATGCAAAAAAGGTTAATATTACAATATTATTAATGTAATTAATTAATCAATTAAACATGTTTAAAGATTATTAAGAGAATAGTGACCCTTTTGAATGCTGGGTGGTACAGTAATTTTAATGCGAAATCTATATATCCAGCTATTCAGTTGATCCAGGAAAGAATTTTGTGGAAGTTCTTATTCTATTTCTGTTTTCACTTCCCAACTTGTTAATTAGTCATATGACATTAATACTCAACATGTAAAGAAGATGCAGAATTATTTCCAGCTATATTTTCGTATTCTGCTTGTGACACTAGTTCAGGATGGAAGATGAATATAATATGCAATGGTACATATTTATGCAAATCTCAAAAGTATTACATAGCATCTAAAAACTTTTAGGGACCCATCCCAGTTTTGCTTGACAAAAATTGAAAAAGTGGAAAAAAAACTTTTTCCAATTTAAATTGCAGGATTAAAACATGATGGTATAGTTAGAAATGATTTAATTTACTAAAATTATTTGAGTATCATGCATACTTGGGAACATTAAAAGTCAGAAGAAGAATCAGAAGAATCCCAGCAACTAGGCAAGCACTAGTTACTTCAATAGAAATTTGACTTCATATTCAGATGCAGTATAAAACTGAATTGAAGCTGTTAAGGGACTTTGTTTTCATACACGTTACAGTAGAGTTCACAGCCACACTTGATTTATATGATAAATATTCAATGAACTCTGGGCATAATACAGGTAAAATTGGGTAAAATTAGCTCCATTTCATTTTATATGGTGTATAAATCTTAAAAAGCTTGGACAACTTTGTATGGATTATATGGTTTTTTTGGATCATATCCTCCATATGTTAAATTAGCATAAGAATTATGTTAGTTTTTAATTCAAAATCATTTTTCAAAAGTTGAATCTTTCCTTATGTCAAGGGACTGTAGTTACCCATTTTATGTGCAACTAGTTCCTAGAAACAGGCTTCCTTCTGATATCATAACAAATTTATCTCCATTGTAATTCAACAAAAGTTCTCTTCTTTAAATAATTATTTATAATCAGACTGACTTCTAATTAAGTCATTGAAGCTCTCTCCCCCTCTCCACCCCATCCACCCCCCGTCCTGCTGTGCTGCCCCATCATGGGGTGGATGGGGTGTTCCTGGGTGGGATGAACAAATAACATTGGAGTGTATGCCGTGTTTGTGTGTGTGTGTATTTCCCAGCAGGGTTCACCCCAGGTCATCTCAGCTGCCCCGCTAAAGCAAGCAGCATTGTAGGAAAATATCAGAGGCAAATGATCATATTATTAACAATGGCAAAGGCATCAATTCATACTGCATGGGGCAAGGCAATGGTAACCCATTTCTCTATTTTTATCAAGAAAGTCAGATGTACAGAAAATATAAAATGATTGAGGCTATAGTATCAAATAATGAATCCCTCAGATTGGATGACACTCAACATTTTATTTATTTATTCAATTTCTATAGTTGCCCATCTCAATCAAGTGACTTGGGTGGCTTATAGTTCTAAAACTACAAAGTGGTTAAAACAATTAAAGCAATAAACAATAAAAACATCCAAATAATAAGTATATACAGCTGCCAAGATAGTTAAGCAACTAACAGTAAAGCCAAGAAATGGCTTTAACACATTCTGAGCCCAAAGCCCAGGCATGTAGCAAGATTTTTAAGGCCTTATGAGGCCGATAGGGTTGGGGGAAATTCTAATCTCTGAGGTGAAAGTATTCCATAAAGCAGGAGCTGTAGCAGAGATAGCCCGTCTTCTAGTTCCTGCTAGTTGACAATTTAGTTGATGGAGTGTGCAGCATGCCCAATCTAATTAAACGAAAAAGATGGTCCCTCAGATAGCTTTCTAATGGAAAAGAGCATGGAACATAAGAAACAGGAACAAAAGAAAGTTCAACGTAGTGAAAAATGAAATGAAACAACTGCAAATTGACCTCTTAGGCATCAGCAAATTGAGATGGACTAGGATTGGGCATTTTTTTGTTGGAAGATCACACTTTTGAGTCCTGAGGACATGAAAAACAAAGAAGGAATGGCATTACTTTTATAGTTAGGAAGAATATAGCAAGAACAGTACTTGACTACGATGCAATCAATGAGCAGATAATATTGATTAGATTTAAAGAAAACCTAACAGTGTGCAAACTATCATACAATATACTAATTTTCATATGCTAGTAAAATAATGCGTATGATCAACCAGATTAGAATCACACATAGAAAAACAGAGATGGTCAAGCTGTCTTTAGAAAAGCCTGAAGAACACAAGACTTGATTGCTGATGCATGCTGGATAATTGAGAAAGCCAAAGAAAACAAAAAAAGAAGTTAATATAACCCTAACCCATAATGAAAAAAACCAAATTAAATATAAAGAATACCAAACAAATAACAATAGGTTGAATAACCAACCTTAGAACTGGCAATGGAAATATTGAAGTGGTAAATAACTTTTGCTTTTTAGGAGCTATCATCAGCAATAAAAATACTAGCAATCAAGCAATATGCCACATATTGACATTTGATACAGCAGTCAGGAAGATGTTCAAATGCCATGATGGATCTATACATATAAAAATCATCATGCATGCCATGGTATTCCCTTTGGCACTTCATGGAAGTAAAATTAGGATAGAAAGAGTATGCTTTTGAACTTTGATGTTGAACAGGAACCCTGGGATTACTGTTGACAGCCAAGAAAACAAATGGATGGATCATCAAATAAATCAACCCCAAATTCTTACTTGAGTCACAAATGACCAAGCTCAAACTATCCCATTTAGGACACAGTGTATGAACACCTAACTGTAATACTAGAAAAGATGAATATTAGAGTATATTGATAAAAAGGGAGATTTTATATAAAATTATTCAGCAGACAGAAGGACACATTTTACTGAAGAAGAATCAATATTGTTTATGCGAAACATAACTGACTTTCTTGCTTTTTCCTTAAAAATGGTTTGCTTCTCATCCAAGAAGCTGCTTCAGTTCTGAACACCCATGACATGGATGATTGAGAATCTCCATAGACATAAAGCAATGTCAGAAAATACCTAATAAAACATTTTGAACTTTTATAGCTGTCCATTTATTATTGCATTTTGCTATTATTTTTTCAAAAATAGAAGTCAAATAAAATTTTATTGGCTCTTGTAGGTTCTTCTGGAGATAAACAATACAAATATTCAAATGCATACCAATCTTATTTAATAAAAAAGTTTATATTCACATTCCATTGTGAAAAGAAATTATTTGTAAATAACGTATTTGTTCAAAAATTTTATTTACATTTAATATGAAAAAGTAAATCAAGTATATAAATGATTTATGCAGTCTTGATTTTTAAATACAGATAGTCCTCAACTTATGACTACAATTGGAATGGGCAAATTCATAATTAAGCAGAGAATTGTTAAGTGACATCATGTGATTGCACCCAATTTTATGATTTTTACCATAAGCGAGACATGTGACCATAATTTGTGACATCCTGCTATATTTCCCATTGACTTTCCTTGTCATAAACTAGCTGGAAAGGTTGCAGATGGAGATCAGGTGACCCTAGGATGCTGCAACTGTTGTACATGCGAGCCAGTTGTCAAGCTCCTGGATCGTGATGACATAACTGCAGGGAAGCTGTGACAATTTTAAGTATGAGGACTTGTCATAAATAATTTGTTTTAGTGCCATTGTAATTTCCAGTGGTCGCTAAAGGAATGGATGTAAGTCAAGGATTATCTATCATCCTCCACATAGAATCCTTGCATAAATATAAAAAGCATTACAGGCAGAAGATGAGTATGAGTATTTTTTTAAACTTCGTAGTGCCTGTATTGATTTCCTCACAACTATGAAAACATTCAATATGCATTGCCCATCTATTCATTTGTAAAATAAGAATATGTAATTAAGAAAGAGGAATTAGAAAGCTGCCAATATTATATCTATTGTCTATGTTTGGAATACATTTTTTAGTTCTTCCAACTTATAAAACTCTACTATGAAAATCTTATACAGTAATGTTTTACTGTCTTTAATGCTAATAATTATATAGTATTATATAGTAATGATAAAGAAAGATAGAAAAAAGGCAGTCAGATAAGTTATCTTAACTGGAAAAATTCTTAAAATATGGTTTATAAGGGTCCTTTAATTAAGAAAATAGAAAATTAGAATTTAGAATCAGTATAGCTAATCTTGATCTAATTTGACGTTGGGTTGTATTGTTTTAGTCAAATTGATGCTAATGGGATATATCTCCATACAAGTTTAGAATTAATGCCTTTCCCTAATTTAACAGGGCATATCATCACGGTCCACAAAAACTGAAACCTCAAGCATTCTAGATAAAAAAGATGACTTCACAGACACAGAGAAAACAGAATTGACGCCTACTACATCTTATCAGGTATATGGATTAAACATTTCAGATCTGAAAGTAACTATCTTGGGGAGGGAAAAACTTTACCAGTACAATGAAGTGAAACATTGGTTAATTCACATAAATCAAATATTGCAGGCTATCTCAATGGATTTTTGACACATTACAATATAGGTAGTTATTGGGTTACTACCATTTGTTCAGCAGCAGTTATGATTGTGGTGACTGGATGATATTTACTATGGGTCTCATAGTTCTGGCAATTGCATTGTCACCATGGTTATGCAACATCATAGTTCATAACCATGTCATTTAGTGATTGCCAATTCTGGTCCCAATTGCCATTATAAGCTTATAGTTATGGTAATTGATAAGGTTCTTACAATCTATCTCATGTAACTGTCTCTAATGTATAACCAACCATTTTTAAACACTCATTTGCAGTAATAAAAAAAAATTGTCTCTCTCAATAATATCTGCTGTTTTAAAAAACAGCACGGTGTATCATCTGTCCCACTTATGAAAAAAGATGGCCACGTTCAAAATACACTTCAAAAATACTTATTTTATAGAAAAATGCCTTTTCCTGTTGAATAAATGTCATTTGTGTAATTACCTTCTTCCGATTTCTAAGCTGTTGTATTAGCTTTCAACATATTTTTTTTAAATTTTTTTTTTTAATAGACCACATTATTTTACAATATACCACAATACTAGTTATGACATAACATTGGAAAAGTTCTTTCTGTGCATATCAACATTCTGGTAACCCACACCATTTATTTGCTTTAGAGCTTCATTTTAACAGTGAGTTACTGGAAGTTGCTACAGTTTGGTAACTTGTGTGTGAAAATATAGAGAGCCAATATATTTGTTAAATCGGAAGATTATTTTCTGAGAACACAGCAACAAACACAACCTATTTTAACATTCTAACATTAGGACTATACAAAAGTGCCAAGGCAGGAGAGTACAGACTTGGAGTGGCTGATAAGACTTCGTTGCCCAAGAGCTCAAATGGAAGAGTTGATGCCAGATGTCAAGCAAGTAGGTTTGGGTGTGAATATATTGATATTTTCCAGTGCAGCATTATCAGATAAATATTTTAATGGTAGAAATTTACAACAGTAAAAGTGGAGTTTCATCTTAGACATATTTTTAAAAATCTAGTTAATAATCATAAAAGTTCTAATACATGATGCTAATGTTTCTAATACATACTTTTCAATTTTAGGGAAATACATTCTCATTTTTAAATGTTCTTAATAAGGAAAAGTATGACTAAGGATACAAGGTTAACTTTATCTTGGATTAAGGCCCATTGATAATACATCCAAATAGATTTCTAGGTAACTAACCCTAATTTGACTCTGACTCTGCCACAAACAGATTAAATGGCTTTAGAAAAGCCATTATCTGTCAGGTCTCAGTCTGTAACATAAGGCTCGCCATATAGTCCTATCTTTAAAGGTATGTGAAATTTTGAAATCTTCAAATGTTCATCATCAGCTCCATCGACTGCTAAATTCATTGATTTCTTTTAATGTGGGTAACAATAGCTCATCATATCCAGAAGAAAATTAAGCATTTTTAATAAATATGCTGTTTTTTCTTTATCTGCAATGTATATGTACCTTGCAATCCCACAATTTGATCTTGTTTTGTCTTCTTCTGCATAAGCGCAGAAGTGTTGCTCACATGCACAAGCAAACCAATAGTAAACCGTTTAGTAACCCACTACTGGCTATGATAAATTTCTTTCAAAAGTAATCAATGCTATGCAATGTGCAGTAAAAGAACAAACTGTAGTGCCCTAAAGGAAAGCAAGAGATGAGAGAAAATAAAACCAAAGTTTTTATACTAGCTTAATTTATTATATTTCAACCTTTTTTATACATTGCAAATTACCTTTGCTTTCTCCACATTAGAATTCTCTCTGTTTTTGAAGATCTCATGAACTCAGTACTACCATGGATTTTTTTGGTCTTCCGTTTCCTAATCCATTCATTCATATTTGTGTTTTGCAATTTGATCCTCATTCATTCTCTCTATGACCAAATTATGTCAACATATAAGTCCTTCCTGTCCTTTGCTTTTATATTCAGCCAACATTTATTCATTATCCTTTCTCAATTATTCCTACTAAATTCTATTTACTTTTATCTCTCCTTGACATATTGACTCTCACTTCCTTAAAACAAACTTCTTTGACAAACATGAATTCCTTATTGCAAACCAAGTTTTCTATTTGTATTTAAACATCCCTTTTCTCTCTTTCTTTCTATTAAGGTATGCAAATTCATTTACTTGCTATATTTTTTCACATTCTATTATAATTTGTAGTTGTTAATTCATTGATCTTTGATATACTAATTTTCAGATCCATTTCAGTGTATATTACTGTTTATTTGACATTCACTACAAAGCATTTGGTTCTTAACCAATAAAATGGCATTTTCTCCATAATAAAAATATGTTAATGTTCACATCCCCCAACCAAAATAATCTTTAACACTACCGCAAGCATGCCTTATACATTTGTCCATAAATATATTAAGCAACTAAGAAGACTCCACCTATCTCTGTTTTACTTCTTGCTCAATATTCAATTACATGCTGAGTATTTAATTTATTTTTATGCTTGCTTTCCTTCCATTATGGGCAGAAATTCTTTGAGTATCCACATATGCTGCTTTTCATTTTAAGGATTTTTAAAAAAAGACATATGATAGAAATTAAATGGAACCCACAATATATTGTAGTTTTATAATTTGAACTAATATTGAAAGTAAAATACATACTTATGTACAATGGTATTCTTTGTATAGGTAAGTTTGATTTTTGGTAGCTAAAAGTTTCATTCACTTGGATTCTTTTCATTTTTCAAATAAGCCTTTTCCAGGAGTTACTACATTCCTGAGTAAATCACAGAGCAAGATTTTAGAAAGAAGTCCATCTGAAAAGACAAAAACTTCAGAGAGTTGGCTAACACAGAAGCACTTGTCCATTGCACAGGTACCAATATATTGGGGGCACTGAATAGAGTCAAAAATCTATAACTGGTGATGTTTGCTACCTCAAAGCAAAGTGCATATTTCAAAAGGACTTAGAAGGCAAGCAATCCATTCTTTGAGTTCCATGCAGTTTATTGAATGTGTTTGTTGGCGATTAGAAGAAATTGAATTCCTATCTGCTCTTATTACAAAAGTGTTGTAACATCATCAAAATACAACCACATTCTCATATTGTGGTTGCATTTTACAACACTTTTTAAATTACATAATTGATTTGAATATGTGTATATATGTGTGTGTGTGTGTGTGTGTATAGAGAGAATATATATATATATATATATATATATATATATATATATATATATATATATATATT